TTAATTTTGATGGAACTTAAACTAAAAACAGGCTCCTCCTGTAAGAAGGAGTATAATTGACAAGGTTTCCAAATGAATAGCTCAGGACTTAATAGCACTGTAGATCTCAGTCTGAGAAGTTTAAAATTATTGTAATAGATTAAGAGACTCTTTGTGATATTACCTTAGAATTTGAAATTTCGTTGAAGTGGAGACTTCAACGCTTTATCTATAATTTTTTTATACATTCTTAGATGAAAGTCGCGCGTTAACTACAGAGTGTGGGATGAGCTACGTTTAATCGGGATGATTAGGTCTAGTAATGGTTGATTTCGACTCGGTGCATCTCAGTTCACCGATCTTTAGAATAATGACGGACTATATATACATTAGCCTTTTGTGAGAGCTTACATAAGTTTGTTTGGAGTCAAATGTGAGATCGTAAGAGATGATGTTTTATTCAAATACGCAGACATGTTTTTGCATCAAAGAGATCCTTGTGTGGCTATTATCTTTCGATTTTACTTTTGAAGCATGTAGTGGCCCCTCCCCTCCCAAAGTATTCCAGCATCATTTCTTTTAGCGTCGGCCCCTTTGTTGAGCTCGTTATCTTCTTTATTATTATACTGGGTGAAATCCGAAGAGAGTATCAAACTTTAGAGGGGGCTTCACTTGTGTATCCCTTGCGCTTGTTTTATTTTTCTTCCTCCTCCGTAGAGCCAAAAATCTTTATGGACACCTTTGGTTTAGATCCGTTGGTGAGGTTGCCGTGTACGTCGTTCCCTCCGGTTTGATGACTCTGTTTATGACGTAGACAAGTCACATGGACTTTTGTTCGATCATAAAACAGTAAAGTTATGTGTTTTCTGAAGCTTTCGATTGCAATGCTCTTATTTACCTTTTTCATTTTCAATTGTGGACAGTTGTGAAAAAAGGAAAAACTCACAGCTTTGAAAATGGCTTTTCGTCCCGGAAAGTAAAATGGCTGGAGCAAAGGCGCAAAACACACACAAAGAATAAAGCACATTTTATCATGAATTTGCAACTCTACATCACACTTATAGGTCGTGGCAGTACAGACCCTACAGCGTTCGGTCCATTCAAACCCAATGAGGGCCAATATGCCCCAAGACAGTTTGAGCAAGTGAGGTTAATAATAAATGATTTATTAGAGGGCAGTCTGACCAAAATTTGCCGATTTTCGAGAACAAAAATACACGGTGTTCAGGCGGATTGCAATTTGAAAAACATTTGATCCTTTATTTAAGGAAAACCGACGGTAAAAGTTTAAAACAAACATAGAGGAAAAGCCAATAGAAAAAAACGTCGTGGTAATTAACTAAACGGCGCATGCGTGAACGCCATTATATCATAATAAGTCGGACCACACGGCCTACGACCGTTTCCGCGAAAACGGTCCGTATGGCAAAATCCCAACCGACTAAAAACCAATCACAGCGCTAGGATTTACCTCAAGACTACTTGGCCGTATGAAACTATCAAAGTGACCCTATGGGGAATCCATAGATATATTACGCAGAATACAATTGTTTTTTTCATGTGGTTAAGTCTAAGGTTCAAAAGTAAACGTGATATTTAATTCTTATACCCCCTTAACGATGATTAAGTTCTTAAGAGGGAATAGTCGGTAGTTCAAATTTTGATAAATGTTTATCCCACCTACATGCCCGGCACAAAATTAGCCGTCATCCCTACAAAAATAGCTTCACCATCGTTGATAAGGTACATGCCATCGGTGCCACGAGGCAATTTTCATGAAGGAGAATACAAATTAACATTTGAATCAGTGTCTGAATGATTAAGATATCGTGTTTCGATAAATTGTTGTGCAAACTTTGATAAAAAAAGCAGAAAACAATTTTCAAAGCACTTTGAATGGACAATTAATGGCTAGTGTTTCGAGACAAGGGCTACCTGAATTTAAGCCGATAAGAACATCTTGGGCAGAGATTCGAGGGCTCGAAAATTTAGGCAACGTAAATCATAGATCCCGAATTATGGATGAACCCAAGAGGAACAAATGGTTTAAATGGAGGCTTGTTTTAAACAATAACAAGGCGAGACCCCAACATCGGGAGCTACATTATCTACACTTTTCGAGAAGGCATTAGCTACTTAAACGTCTACCTGCTCTTTGATACAGAGAAGATGCAGCAAACAGGGCCTTCTGTTATTTGTCCGTCTCTAAGAAGACTAGAATGTCTAACCCTTTGCAGATATCATAGCAAAAGTAGCGCATGCTCCTCAGTTATATCAAGACCCTGAGTGTTAGTCTGTCCTGGGACTTGAAGCAGACCTTTAACCTTCGACCTCGCAGCTTAAGTCTCCCAGGAACCATCAAACTCGCAAAATTGAGAGGCACTCTATTTTTTTTACCTGGCATAAATAAATTATCCTGCGACGGTGCTACTCGTGATATAAATAACTTACACAATCACATAAGAAATGTTATGTTTACAATAATGAGTTGTGGAAAAATGATAATTTGTTGTTTTCATTTGAAAATGATGTAGTGTTCCAAAGATTTTTTGACGATTGTAGTTTGCTTATGCAGAGGCTAAAAATCAAGGAGGTATCAATGAACTAGAGGGAACGAGATTGGCGACCATGACGAATGGTTTAAATTAACATACCTTCCAAGGCAAATAACGCAGCGGCCAATTTTTTGTTTTGGACACTAGTGGCCGATTTTTTTTATTTTGGACACTGGCTGGTGTCAGAATGTTTTATTTGAATTTTGACGATAGCGTCTGATGAAATTCACCTTTCAGGCGTTATATTTCACGTGTAGTATCAAGTGATTTTTTTTACGTAAACAGACCGCGAAAGGTCGGACATCCGGTCTCAAGAAAGTTACTAGGTGTACGAACTACGAGTCGCTATTTCACGTTCCCGTTACTATATGATTTTTGCATTGCTATAAGTCTCAAAAACTCGGGAAAACTCCAAAGTTCCAGGTTTAAAATGTCCAATCAGAAGAATAAGAGCGACTTAAACGCCATGAATGTGGCAGAACTGAAAAAATATTTGCAGGAAAGTGGAGTTTCAGTAAGCGGATATTCGAAAACTTCGCTGGTAGAAGTCGCATCTGCATTTGAAAGAATGGTTTTGCCAGTAGATATATACAAACTTCGAAAAGGATCAAACCAATGATACAGACAATTTAATTATTGATAATATGCTAATTCCCAATCCATTTTCCCTGAAGACAGCGAACAACTTCAACCACAAGTGGCCCAAGCCATGTCACAGGCTCTTTCACAGTGGATTATTAAAGAGTTTGTATAGTGGTTTAGTTGGACTTGCTTTTGAGCTTTGTAAACGTAAAGTTGTGTGAAATAATCAAAGAAATAAAGTCTTACCTTCATAGAGAGGTCTGTGTTGTTCTCCTCGTGATTTGAGGCCATTTGGATGTTTTTTAGCTTGACGCCCTAATCTCCACCGAGTCACGGTTCACAAGTAAGGGAAGGTAAGAAACTTCTGTTGACACATGCTCGCCAAAATCGCTCCAAAACAACAATTAAACACTTTCCCTCGAACTAAAACTTTGCAGCACGAAAGCCAAATAGTTGCCCTTTAAGTTCACCGAGAAAATCCCACAAAAGTTGGTTTGTCGAGCAATCAATCCAGCGAGAATTTCAAATTAACAGCCGTTCTTAACTCTTCTAATGCGTGGAAGGAACATCTTGTCTAGCTGAGAGACCGTTAATGCGCGGTAAACCTGGACCCTAGTCAAATCTCTCTCATCGGGTCCTCCTCATAGTCTTCTTACACCAACCCTTCACACATACTAAGGTACCCCGGGTAAGTTTTCATATATCCGCTTACTGAAACTCAACGTTCCTGCATATATTTTTAAAGTCAGTTCTGCCACATTTCTAGCGTAAAAGTCGCTTTTATTCTTCTGATTGGACATTTTGAACCTGGAACTTTTCGAATTTTTCCGACTTTTCGAGACTTAAAGCAATGGAAAATTATATAGTAACGGGAACGTGAAATAGCGACTCGTAGCTCGTACACATGTAGTGTAATCTTGAGACTGGATGTCCGAACTTTCGCAGTTTGTTTACCTAAAAAATCACGTGATACTACACGTGAAATCTAGCGCCTAAAAGGTGTCTTATCCCAGATTCCAAGCGTGCCTCTAACTAGACCAATGGTGGCCAAGAATAAAATAGAAGAAAAGTCACATGTGATTTCAATGGTGAAACTACAAGTGGCTTTTTTTCCTGATTGGTCCACTGCATGATACAGCATAACAGTGATTCCTTTATTCAACCATTGGGGAGGTTGGTAATTTGATGTTATTACTGATGGATCTGCTGAGTTGTCAGTAGCAACGGGCGTCGTCCAGGTAACCGATGATGAACATTTTCCTCGTTCAGCTAAAAATGACAAGGTGCCTTTTGGACATGTGACAACAAATGTGGGAGGAACAACATCTGGAATGGAAAAGAGTTCGTTAGTTTCAACCAAAAGAACAAACATAAATCAAGCTAATATATCACTTGATGTCAGCTCTAAATTGACCTTCGTACTGAGTTTTATATATATTTTTTACGATAGAAATGACGGATGGACCACTTGTCGTTTTCCCAATCTTTAAGCTCGCAAGTAATTTATTTTATCAGCACGTGCACAAAACATCTTTCTGACTCATTATCAAAATGCCAGAATTTATCATGACTTGGGTTGAATATTCTTTCAGTCTATTAGTTTTTAAAGACAAGCAAACAAAAGGCTTTAAAATCTCTCCAGAAATCATATTTAACCAGCATAAAACTCATTGCTTTCCATTGAACCAAACATCAATTAAAGCTTAGGATGGCACAAACACTATAACAAACGCGCAAACGTTTTCGGAAGCTAATTAACAATTTTTCCACGAGCGCGCGCTGGATATGAGATGATAGATGGCCAACGAGACGCGTAGCGCCGAGTTGGCTATAATCATCTCATATCCAACAAGCGCGAGTGGAATAATTGTTTTATTAAAAACGCCCTCAAGAAATTATTTTTTTTGTGAGAAGAAACCGGACTTTTTAGCTCCCTTTTGATTTTAAACTGACGCGTACGCTTACCATATTTGTAGATTATGGTATATTGGCTCATATACCATAATGGCTAGGCCAATAAAAAGGCTTGAATTGCATTGTCCGATGATCGAGTTTTTAATAAAGTTCATTATTCAGTGGTAGAAAAAAACAGCGCCGTCTTCAAAATCAGAGAAAATTATTTTTGTTTAGAAGAAAACACGATTTGCGAGTGTTCCTCGCTGTTACAAAAAATATTTATCAGTAAGCTATTGTGTTGTGGTTTCTGCAATGAGCTATGTTATTTCAGTCTTTTCAACTGTGTATGTTATGTTATTCTATGATCGAATCAGCCCATATTCGTTGGGAAAAGCTCCTGTTTAAGAGGAAGGATGGTGGAGACCGAAAAAAGAAGAAATTTTCCTGAAAAATTATTTTTAAAGAATATCCCCTCGATTCATCGCCACAAAAACTGAAATAGTCCTCTTAGCAAGGTGACAACAAATTAAAACTGTAACATTTCCCATAGTCCCCACTCCACCCCTACACGATCTATATACTAGCCTCGCTATCAACTCAAGCAACAATATAAGTTTTTTCTTTTCTCTTTTTTTTGTTTTTAACAAAACTTCTTTTTCAGATTATCCTAACGATGAAGAGATCTAGACCTTTAGCGAAAAGGGGGTGAGTTGGTAAGTTTCTCGTACGCGGCTTTACTGCTCTAAAACAAAAGAAAATATTAAGAAGTATTGGTCAGCGTGTAACTGAGGGGTGAGGGGTGAACACCGAGGGGTGAGGGGTGGGGAAGAAGGGAAATGATAGTGAGGGATTGGAGGATGTGGCGAAGAAAGAGTTGGGGCCGGTTGTTTAGACAAAGTTCAGCCGTTGTTTGATAAAACCGCGTTCTAAACTATCTCAAGCTGAATTTAGGTTAATGTTCGAACATTTATTTTGGTGAACAGTGTCAAGAGAGCCGAAAGCTAGCAGTGGAAGGACATTCGTTAAGTGAAAACGACCCTCTTTTAGAGAATACGTGAGAGCCACTGCTTACAGTTTGGGTTAGGTCTCTGGTAAATAACCGCCCCTTAAGGGTATGGATTGCGGATTGTTGTCACTTTCTGGGAAATCAAGACAGGAGGTTTTCCTTCGAATCACCTGTACCAAGCCATTCCATCAATTAAACTGGGGATTTTTTTCTGTACATGAACACCGAGTGCTGATTGAGAAACGTTTCAACTTCCGGTGCACAGACTGATCCAAACCCCGAGTAGTACTCTAACACAGTCAAAGGTCTGCGCGTAAGCGAATGTTGTAGTGGCCAGATGGCATGCTTTCAGATTGTCAAAACCAAATTTATAAACAACCGCACAAGAGAGAAGTCTTAAATTTGAAAACCGTGTAACTTTCTCAATGAACTCCTAACAAAATGGAAAAACCGTGGGAAACCGAGATTGAATCAGCTCTGTGTACAAATAGTCTCCATCTTTCGTTTTCCCTTACTTTTGCTTCTTTTCCAGATTTACATGTTGGAGCTTTTCAATGTTTTACCTCCTCGAAAATTTTGCGAGGGGAATTGGCACGTGGCCATCAAAAAGTGATCCCGTCGTGCATGCCTTACGTTTTACCGTTTTGTTTAGTGCTCCAAGGGTGAACTCGGTGAATGTAAAAGTAGGAGACGCCCATATGATGCCATTGCACATGACCAGTATAATTTTCCTTTAACTTTCTGTAGGGAGAACAAAATCCTCCGCTGTCCAGTATTGTCAGTACCTCCTCGACCAAACTAATCTACGATCTCCGCCCCCTCCCTCGGGGGTGTTTATTGGGTAGATCCAATCAATCGTCTCGGGTTTACTGCGACACGAGGACTGATGGAGGAGGCTGGACTCTAGTTTGGAGTTATACGTTCACCAGATACGATGATTTCAAAAGTGTTGCAAACGCTGTGAAACCAAGGCCAAACTGGCCAGTACATGGCTAAGATGGCATATCAACTACAGCTCCACTAAATGAAACAGATAACAACGCCACGAGCTTCTCACTCTTCAAAACAACTCGGCAGACCAATCCAACCTATCCAAAGTCCACGACCAAAGCAATAACACTCGCTAACGAAAAGGCGATAGCGGACGATATAATTTTCCATCACATGTTCAATATTCTCTCTATGTGTGCATTACAGCCGATCCTTCAAGAAGCTGTTATCGAGTACATCAAAGCAGTAGATGACGATTTTGAAGATGAATGTATATGTATGTATATGAGGATATTTATCCAGGGTAGCCCAGTTCAGCAACTTAGCTGATTTAAATGGGGCCTTGTGTAACGCCCGCCCACCCCACCCCAGGGGAGGACTTCAACCACAGAGTAATCTCGGGCGTGGGAAATTATCGTATCCTACCCCTAACCTTGCAGGAGAAGGGGCCTACCGTTTATTCGTCCTTATCCGAGAAGACTAGAAAATCTATCTATTTCTTGATATTATAGAAAGGTAGCAAATTCTCCTCAGTTATTACAAAACCCTGAGTGTTGGTTCGGCCGGGGCTTGAACCCTCCAACTCCCGCAAAACAATCCGGCGATCTACCATTGAGCTAACCAGAAGGCTGTTAATGAAGATATGATAAGAATGTGGATGAATCGATGTTCACTGTTGGTGATTGAAGAAGAAGAAGAAAAAGAAGAAGAAGAAGAAGAAGAAGAAGAAGAAGGAGAAGAAGTGAGTGGTGCCTATATTCGAGTTTATGGCGTCCTTAATGATGTTATTAAATCTGCGACAAAAGATGGCACAAAGGATGAAAATTACAAAGTGGTTTATGGGGCTGTAGTGTCATTCTCAAAATTTGAAGAACTAGAATCTATTTTCGTGGAAACAAAAATAACTCCCCATCTTAAGATGTTCAGCTTAAAACTTGAATATATGGTAATAGGAAAGAAAAACCAGAATTCTCCGGGAGGACTCCAAAGTCTTTGAGTATTTATTCTGGTGGCCCTTGGGCCCTTGGTGACACCTGCTATGACCACTGTAAGTTTGAAGCAGAGCTAATCTATTATTAATTGCTGTTAAATGATTGAATCAAGTCACGAAGGTGGGGGACCTGACAAACGCAACATGTTACAACAATTGGGTATTGTACAAAGCCACCTGCGTGAAAAAAATCGAGCAAAAGACTACTTTAAGCGAGCATTGGAGATTCGTCTGAAAAAGCTGAGACCCGAAAATGTCAATGTTGCAAGTTCTTACAAAAGTCTGGGTAGTTTACACAAGGCCCTGGGTGAAACAGATCAAGCAAAAAGAGTTTTATAAGCATGTTTTGGAGATTCAACGGAAAAAGCAAGGACCTTATCATGCCGATGTTGCAGCTTCTTACAAAAATCTGGGTAATTTACACACTGCGCTGGGCGAAACAGATCAAGCAAAACAGTTTTATAAGCGTGCACTGGCATGGAGACTCGTCTGAAAAAGCTGGGACCTGAACATGTTAATGTTGCAACTTCTCGCCACAGTCTGAGCAATTTACACAAATCGCTAAGCGAAGCAGGTCAAGCAAAATGGTTTTATGAGCGTGCACTGGAGATTCGTTTGAAAAAGCTAGGAGCTGATCATGTTAATGTCACAGGTTCTTACAACAATCTTGGTAGTTTACACCGTGACGTGGGCGAAACAGATCAAGCAAAAGACTACCATAAGCGTGCACTGGAGATTCGTTTAAAAAGGCTACGACCTGAACATGTTAATGTTGCAGGTTCTTACAACAGTCTGGATAGTTTACACAGTGCGCTGGGCGAAACAGATCAAGTAAAAGACTACCATAATCGTGCACTGGAGATTCGTTTGAAAAGGCTAGGACCTGAACATGTTAATGTTGCAGGTTCTTACAACAATCTGGGTAGCTTACACAGTGCGCTGGGCGAAACAGATCTTGCGAAAGACTTGTATAAGCGTGCACTAGAGATTCTTTTGAAAAAGCTAGATGCTGACCATGTTGATGTTGCAGCCTCTTACAACAATCTGGGTAGTTTACACAGTCACCTGGGCGAAACAGATCAAGCAAAAGAGTTTTAGAAGTGCGCACTTGAGATTCCTTTGAAAAAGCTAGGACTTGAACCTGTTAATGTTGCAGGTTCTTACAACAATACCTTTAAATGCTTGTAGGCCATGATTACAACTCCCAACTCAAGCTTTTATGTGGCTGCCGTCTATTATACTCCAGATCCGCCATATTGTCCTCATGATTTATTGGAACATCTAACAAATAGTTGTGATCGTTTATTGACTGGTAATCCTAACAGCAACCTTATAATTTGTGGTGATCTCAATCAGTTAGATTACAA